TGATATTTGCTATGTGAGAAAAATATTACTGAATATGTTGCCCATGAAATATACTTTGAAGTTGAGTCATTAATTTTCAGATAATGATTGTAGAAGGAAGATAAACCAAAATATGTGTGTAAAAATAAAAAAAAATAAAAAAAAATGTTACCTTGTTTTATAAAGTATCCTCCCGACAAGTATTTCAGTACGGACCTGTATTTGATCGTGCGGTCTTGGAGCACCGGCATGCCCTCCCCTGTGAGGTCTTAAGTCACCTGATTCACGAGCAATTTGTACTACATTAACAAAGGCACGAGGGGTTGGTTGCACTCGATTGGGAAACCGATCCGCATAAATCCGTGATGCCGCGTAAATACGAATCATGTCCACAAGTTCAGCATTTTCGTAAACATGTGCCATTTTTGATTTCGTTTGAGCCACGCAACAGACACCACTATTCACTCACGCGTTACCGACTGACACTGACTGTATATAACTGAATAAAATAATTGAAAAACATCGTTCCAAATTCTTTCGCTTTTTTGTTTCCGATGCGATGAACCGATAAGGCGGATTATATCCGTTGTTGCCAAAACACGAGCACATAATATTATTATTGAGACAGGGCGGTACTCAAACTTCCAAAGGGCTATAACTTTGTTACTTTAATTTTACCAGGAAAATGGTAAAGGAAAAAACAATTCTTTTGATCAGATCTACTCACTGTTAAAATAAATGACTCAACTTCGCAGTCACCCTGTATATATATTAGCTGTGCCAGACGGGTTATTTGTGTTTTCCTTTCTGAAAAGACGTTATGTAAAAAGTTATACATTACGATTTCTTTACGTTTTCAAAAACTTTGAGAAGCATCATGGGAAATCAGCGCCGCGCCCGCTTTGTGTGTAATCAATCCACATCACAGATAAAGTAGGAATGACGCATCACATACAACCATTTTCGCGCTGCTTCACAGCTAAGCGCTGAGTTGTATTTTCTACTTGACATGGTAAAATAAAATTATATAAAACTTAAATGACTGGGAATAAAAATTAATGTGAAATTTAAAAACTTTTTTACGTTTCATAAATATTCCTGTATGTACTATATTTTGTTACCTGTTAGTTTTAATATAAAGGGTGGGCCATCCGTTGGTTTCTTTCTTAAATCGGTACTAAAACTATCCTCTTTAATAATATGTAACACTCGATACTTTATTCAAAAGAATACACCTTCCGATTATTAGTGAACAACAATTTCAGTTCAATGGCTGCCGCGTCTGGCCTGGCATCTTAACCCAATTTTGAGCCATATTTTCAATAGTTTGTGGGTCTATTTGATCAATATCACGACGGGTATTTTCCTTAAGATTAATTGTTTGAGGATCGTTAGTGTTACAGCGGTCCTTAACAGTACCCCACAGAAAGTAATCCCTGGGCGTCAAATCACAGTTGCTAATGATCGTCTCCAAAACGGCTGATAACGCGATGATCGAACGCGTGTAAAAGATCGATTGTTTCACGGTTGGTGTGGCATATAATAATAATAATAATAATAATAATGTGCCTTTATTCAACTTTGCATACATAAAATAAAACAAAAGAATGATATCTTGAAAACCGCAAAAGTGCAAAATTGAAAAGGTGGAGTGTTACCCTAGGGGTATTTTTCAACTCAACCTCAAATAAAAAAAATTGTATCTGTATCATGAACATACTCATATCATACAATAATAGAGATAAACATAAGTATTAGTGATAGCCATAATAACTGTTCTGTAACCTAGTGCCTAAGAGAAAGGAACTAATCATAAAAAAAAGAAAAAAAAAAATTAAATATTGCGCCATCCTGCTGAAACCAGAGATTGTGCAAGTGCATGTCGTCTAATAGTGGGCACAAAAAACTCCTCAACACGTCTCTATAGCGTCCCCCGTTTACCGTCACGCTGTTACCACCTTCATCTTGAAAAAAGTAGGGACCATTAATTAATCTCACCCCTCCAAAAGCCGCACCAAATAGTTACTCTTTTTGGATGCATTGGTTTTTCTATGACGACATGTGGATTTTCAGAACCCCAAATTCTACAGTTCCGCTTGTTAACGTAACCTCCCAGATGGAAATGGGCTTCGTCCGAAAAGATGATTTGACGACCAAAATTGACGTCCGTTTTCAATTGATTTAGAGCTCACACAGAGAAACCATTGCTCACAGCGGAAGTTTGACACAATCTATCTGTCAATATGTTGCGCAAATTAACACATGTAGTTTCAGGTCCTAAATTATTTAAAGAAAAATTAGACTCACAATACTTTTCCTTCAATTATATTTTTTACATTATATGACCAAGTGTATGAGTTTCCATAGCATACCAATAGTAAACTTACCAGAACGTAAGAAAGTTGATTCATAAAGCGTATTTAAAGCCCATAATTTCAATTTTTGACATATCAACTACACTATGTCAGGGTACAATTATTTTCATAGCCGACAACAACAAAGATACCAGAGCGTACAAAAGGTGACTCAGATGATGCTCAAAGTCCATGTGTCGAGAATTGCTTGTGAAGTAGAGAGTCAACATTCTTGTCATCATTTAAAATGTTTGTGTATGGATCAGTTAGCAAGGCCAAAAGGCACTAAAAATACCAATAAAAATATTTGGATTTAGATGAAAGGCAGCAGATCAAGTTACTACAGACTTATGGGAAAACCTATAAAGTTTCTTATTCAGACTCAAGGTACGGTCATCGTGCTATGAGAAGCGATAAGTTAAAACGATGATTAATCATTAGAAGGCTCAATATACAATACAACGGCTGGTTCAACAAATCGTGCGACACAGCAGAAGATCAAAACACACAAAACTTTCTTACAAAACCCCCCCGAAGAGAACAGCCAAGCCGACGCCGTCCCGAAACAAATATAACGAACCGGTTCGCAGTGCCAAAGATCAGCACGATATAAAAGTTAGGAGCAGGGTAATGTCACAGCGCAATGGCGGTCGGTCTTTCTGGACGCTGCCCAAGCAGATTGAACGGAACTTCTCAGTGTAGCCTTCCACCACTTACGTGTTAGGATGGAAAGATTGTAACCGACTTTAAAGCTAAGGCGGAAGTGCTTGTCAGGATATTTGTTGGCAACCCCACCATCGACGTCCCCCCAACGCCCAAGTGCCATCGATTCATGCCGTTGTACTGAAGAGGTGTGCAGCGGAGCTTGCTCCAGTTCTCTCGCCTCTCTTCCAGATATCTTACGAATCCGGCACTGCACCTTCCCAGAAAACTGGGAATTCGCTCATGTCCAACCCATCTCAAAAAAAAGGATCTAAGACCTATCCTTACAACTACAGGTCTACAGCTCTGTTTTCTGTTATAAGGAAGGTGATGGACAGGCGCATAAATCGCGAGCTTCTGAACTACCTCGAACGTCACGGCTTAATTAGCGACAGGCAGTATGGTTTCCGGCATGAGCGATCCACAGGGGACCTACTAGCTTATGTTACGCAATTGTGTAAACTCATCAAGTCGTATGGTGAGGCTCATGTTGTTCTTGATATCACGAAAGCGTTCGATCAGCTGTGGCACGCTGCCCTCTTATGCAAACTTCCATCCTTATGACCTCCCAGAGAAGCTTTGTAGGTGGGTGGCTGACTTTCTCTCTGGTCGCAAGATATTAATCCCACCTGCCGAAGAGCCGTTCATTTCGGCTGGTCGGCAGCTGCTGGGAAAAAGCTAGGCTAGTTATTTGGGGCTAAGAAGTATCTTTCTCCGCATGACCTTCTCACTTTATACAAGGACCAGATAAGTACGAGCCTCGAGCATTGCTCACACGTTTGGGTTCCGCCGCCCCGACTACATTATTTATGCGCCATGCTGTCCAGAGGAGGGCTGTCCGACTGATCAATGACTCTTCTCTAACAGACAGTATGAGAGACAGATAAGAATTAATTTTTACGATACCTTATGCGATCGTTAAATTTTTAACACACGGGTCGTCATCTTTGACTAAAGTTTCAGTTAGAGTTCATGAAAAAGTAATCCTTTTTATTGTAAGGAAAACAAGTTGCAGATATTTCCAGTTTCTCGAATATGTCACGACAATCAATGATATTACACATTATTACAGATGCACGTACAAATATTGAGGTGTGTCCAGCAACTGAACGCAAAGATGAGTTACGATTTTATAACTTACCCAAGAATATCGTGAAGAGTACTTACTGTATTGTGAAAAAAAATAGAAGGTTTTAATCTGTTTGTCCATTAAACAACAAAAATCTGATTTAATAAAATATGGAGTGGATTATAAAGAAAATAAATAATAGAGGTTTCTGACAGATCCCTTATTATACACATACTATTAGATTTGGTTTATCGCCATCTAGATCATAGTATAGGGCCAGTAGAATCAGTCCGGCTAATATTTGTCAGACTAGTGGACTTTACGTGCACGCAGTGTAGCACAGGTTCTATCGCAGGAGCACCAAAATAACCCTAGCTGTCGACGCGCTCGCTCCAGCGGTACAGGGTCGGATTGTGTGTTTTCAGCGCTGCTAGCTGCGTTTACCTGTGCATTGTTCATCATCCAAGTGCTTCATTACATTATCAAACAGGTTCTGCATATGGATGACTGTTTTGAGTCTAAACAAGAATCAATAACTTCAGCGAAAAATCTTAGTGCGGAATCTAATACGATTTTGACACAAAGGTACAGTTATGCCAATGATAGAGAACACCATGAATTATTTCACCTATAAAGGCACAGGAACAAGTAAATAGGGAAATTCTGAAAACATCAATATAAACTTAATATTCTGAATGTTTTCGGTGTTGCTGATTATTTAATCACGTAGTATAAAGGTCCATGGGGGTCAACACCTAAAAAATGCGAAATCTGATGTCATTTTTTAATTAAGATTGATGGAAGGCCACAAAAGAAGCATTTTTCTATTACTACTTCTAATAATTAGACACACTTAACATACATACACGGGAGTATAAAGCACAATAAATACTTACCGATAAAGACGAAGATCTGGTGATGTGAGTACCGGAGAAGCATGGACACGGATACTGTCTGAAAAGAAAAATCAAATTTACAAAATCCGAACAATAACCACTCTTTTTGAACTTTTTTATACAGGAATTCTCAAAATGCCCATATTCAAAAAGTGAATGCTGCTTTTGTTCGTCTAATCAACCGTGTGCGGTGCTGTTATACGTATATCTTTATTGGAAAGTAGAACAAAATAATTTCTGCTTGCTCCCCAGTGCCCAACACGACTGAGAATTGTAGCGAGTCAGTCAAGAGGCATATCTTCAGTTCCCTTTCTTCTGCTTCCTTTAGTAAGCAAAAGAGGAGCCTTGTGAAGGTCCAAACATCGAAACTAGAGCCGCTTTTCAGTGCCTCATTTGTGTTACTCGGAGTAACTCAGAGCTACCCACCACCGTTCCAGTGTTCGAGAGTGTCATCCAGCTGAGCCGCTCATTTTTGAAATCCCCTGGCCCCTCATGCACCCGCTTCTTATTCGGTGTTATACGCTCCGAAATAGTGGGGATAACGAAAATAACAATGTGTCAAGATTGTTAGGTTATATTTTTAAACCGTTTTTGTTTTTTTGCATTAAGCTCACATGAAACCGATACCAGAAAATGGAGGAATGTCAAAAATTGAAAATGCAGATCTCTGACGTATTGCGCCATCATTCTAAAAGCATCGTCAGGCATCAACTGGATAGTCTAACAATGCTTTTCAAAATAAATTCAAAATGTGTTCAACATTTTCATTGTTAGTTTGGCAGTGTGATACAAATTGTCAACGTCAAATCAAAACATCAAAAAATAGGTTAGGTTTTCATCGTTGCGTTCCCGTCCAGTTCGAGAGCGTCACACTCCGGGTGCATACAACTCTCAATTCAAAAGTACTGAAAAGCGGCTTAGGCGACACGGCAGCGATGTTGCCGCTCTCGCAGCCGCCGCGCTACGCCGAACTGTTTGTTTTTGACGCATCAACCTTTCAAGGAACCTCCATCGTATTTATTCCTAAAATTCCGCATTCTCAGGACATTTCAACAAGGGAAAAGGAAATACCATAACGTGCGACAACAGTCCAAGAAGTAGCAACGCTAACACACAAAGGAGATTGGATTGGGTATCTTCTGGTGGTATATGTAAATTGTATATGAACAGGCGTTAATATAATGGATGAATCGTGAAATTTTAGGCATTCCCGCCACCATAAGGAGCCAGCGCATAGGCCGCTTACACGGGCCCTACATTACTTAGACCTCAAGCCCCGCCTGTCTAGCGAAATTGGAGGTCCAAAGTAATGGACCTCAGGATAGTCTGCCTGTAGTAGCTCAGAGCTTCGCAGCGACAAAGAACGTGCACGGAGGTATCTTCCTCTACACCGCAGCGCTCACACAAGGGAGCCTCAGCCACCCTCATCAGGTGCAGGTGTTGCCTTAACGTGTTATGGCCAGACAGTCCCACCACTAACCTTAGGTTGGCTCTATCCAAAGATAAGCAAAAACGTCCATCCTTAGCGCTGGATCCTACAATGAATTTCCGTAACTGACGGAGATGTCTGGAGATACTTCTCCATTTCTAGAGCATTTTCTTGCAATCCACTTCTCCATTTTCCTCCTAACTCTTTGCTGGCTCAGGACCAACGAGCTTGCTGGCTAATCCTATCTTCACCAGTGCGTCCACCGTCTCATTGCCCTTTATCCCAGCGTGCCCAGGTACCCACATTAACGATACCGAATGGCGCGCTGCGAGACAATCCAGAGCCTCCCTGCATTGCAATACAAGGCTCGAAGCAATCTTACAGGCACCTAGTGCTTTCTTTGAACCCTGGCTGTCGGAGAAGATTGTTAATCTTCTCCTAGGTCCTCCCCCTCCAAAATGCGGGATACACAAGCCAGAATCACAAAGATTCTGGAAAATTGTGCTGTATCCACTAAGAGGTAGAGATAGCCTAGTTCTAAGCCCAGAGACTCCGGCGCCAGAATCCCTCTTCGGTGACCGAGCCGTCCGTTTACCAGACCTGCTCACTCACTCCGGAGTCTCCAGCTACCGGCGTCATACTCCTCCCTCGTTGGATACTCCACATTAAACTTGCGGTTGGAGCGATATTTAGGGGTAACAAGATCCCCCTGCAGTTCGACCAAGATTGCAGTATGGCCCTTGACAAGATTCAAGAAGGTCCAGCTGTCATGACCCCACAGTCGATGTGCGGCTACTCTTGCTTCGCCGCGGATCACTAGATCCAACGGTAGGAGATCCAGCAGAGCTTCCATTGCACTCGATGGCGTTATTTTATTGAGTTTGGCATTAGTTGTCTCAGTTCCAATGCAAGGGCACCAGACCAGGGAGCCGTACAAGAGAGATGGACGTACTATCGTCGAGTACAACCAGTGTAGCACTTTGGGTTTACGCCCCCAACTTACACTGACAACACGTCTACAGGCCCACATTGAATCGCGAGCCTTGTTAACCTTGTATTCAACATATATAAATTGAACCTAAAATTCGGAAATAATGTATTATTAAAATGTCCCTTGGAAGCTATTAGCGCCAATTGTCGCTAGCACTAGGGACATAACCAGGCATCACTGGTGACAGGCTCGAGATGCGAAGTGGCATGTGGCTGCCGGGTCTTGTTTTGCGCAGGTGGAGGGGGAATTCGCTAGACATTCGATATCGAAAAATAGTAAATTTGCAGAAACGGTTGAGTATCTTTGAACGACTTTTGTTATGTTAAGCAACAAAAAGGGTTCAATTTTTGGCTATTATTTCAGATTTACCGTTATGCAGTTTTCGGTAAAAAAATGTAGACATCTACATTTTTGATATTTTTGTAATAAAAAATTTACCATTACAGCAAATTAAACGTGTAAGGTATCATTTTGAAGGTATTTTTGTCTGCTACAACTTTTTCTGAACCACTTTCACGAATAATCCACAACTATTTTAATATACGCGAACAAGTGGTCTTTCCAACTTTGACGTTTGATGAAAAAGTGATCCACAAAGTTTTTTGTATCTCGTATGGACGAGGGGAACCCTCAAAAATAAAATTTCGTTATAAAACAGGTTATTACATCTTTTTTCTCTCAAATTCCAGATATCCCAATATAGGAAATCCCAATCCTTGCTTCTTCCAACTTCTCGTGGCCTGGATGTTAATCGGGCGGTAGAAGGTGTCGTATTTCGTGTAGCAGCAGAGCGAGAAGTGAGAGTACATAAATCAGAGCTGGTGCATCGCAGTGTGGGAGGCGGGTTAACAGGCTCCCAATGGCCTACTGCCAAGCCTAATTACATCACCTATATCGTATGACCGGCCACCGCTAGCTATCCGCTATCCGCTAGCCACCCTAGGGGAAAACAACCCGGGAACTTCTGGGAGGAAATCTGACCGTTAGGCCGAGAAAATACGGCTAGGGATGCGAGGAATGAATACCGGATAATCGTGACCAGTTTCGACTTTTCGATAAGAGGTCTAATTTTGGTGGAAACACTGGGTCGACCTCAAACTATGTGTCTGTTACATTACCCCGATTTGCAAGAAACTTAGTTAAAATAAAGTTACGTATTACATCTGACAACAGTATCCGTGGTAACTTTTTAAAAGAATTACGTTAGTAACTAAAAATTTGTTGATTGACTTGATTTTATATCTTTGAAAGTTTTTCACGATTTTTCAGAGCATTGCGTCAAGTAGGTTGACTCGGCATTTCGCCAAAAGTTAATATCTCTTAGGAAAAAAAACTTGGTTACGAACATGTATAATGAAGGAATTATAAGGATGATCAAGTCAGTCAAACAGGCTCATACATTAAGTCTATAGTCCGCGCACATTTGATAACATTGCGATCTAGAAATGTGTCCCCTGCCCTTTCGACCGTAGCAACCATCCGACAACATAGCAAGCTCGACACTTGCATTGCCACTCGCCAGCCCAGCATGGCATTCCACCTACCCATCATCGTTCAGTTAGCGGTCAGCCCTTGCATCAGGTAGATCTACCGAGTTGAGTGGGACACACATGTCGTAGCTTCTTAGAGAAATGGCTTCTTAGCTAAGAAACCGGTCACTTAGCTAAGAAGGGCTACTTAGAGTTTGTAGGTGCACACTTCTTTTTTCTATAAAGCTGAATAAACCAGTCTTTTACGAGAATTCCAAGTATTTTTGTCTATAAAGGCCGTATGTTTCGATACGAAATTTTGTGCTAAACTTAGCACGCTAAATTTCGTACAAAATTATGGATAGTGTCATTCAGCTTTTAGTACATGATTTTATATGAACAAATTCTTTAGAATCTGTTCTAAATAATGTCATGCTAAAAGTGAGCACACGCCTATTGCGCATTTGGGGCAGTTACAGGGTGGCCAACTAAGAGTGCGAGGTACTGTATCTGGGAACCTATCCATCGTAGAGGCTTGGCGGCAAAAAAGTGCTTACTGAAACAGCCAAGAGAGAAGCCTGGAAAATATTTTCAAGTTTTTGAAATGGTCGCTAGGGTACGTAAATGGAATCTCGAATCTAAAAAAGTGATGTTTCTGTGAAATCCGCCATATTAACCTAACAAAAAATATCTGATCTTTAAAGTCGAGGATAATGTGAACTTTTTTGTTTGGCAATTTTTGCTGTATAAAAACGCCCTGTACCTTCGAAACGGCTGAACCGATTTTAACAAATGATAGAATTCCAGAAAAATTAGTTTAAAAAAATAAATATTTTAGCGATTTCCATATAAAATTTTCTTTGGCCTAAATTTTAGGTTAAGTACAAGATATGGAGATGTGGTTTTATCGAGCTGGTTTAGCCATGATTTAGCTACTTTTTCATAGAAAAACCATATCAGTGCCTTTAATTTTTTTGAGAAAATTAAGGCCTACATACTCAGCCGTGACGTGACAGTGGTGTGACCGGCACGTGATCCGCCCGGCGAAACTAAAAACATTCTACTTGGAATTTGGATGAACTGATTCACAGTAGACCGGCACGTGGACTTGGCCGTGTTCTCAGTGCCCTCGACGACGCCGTAGCGTAATCAGCGCATTGTTTTGGAAC